TTTTCATCCTGCCCAAAGGAATTTAAGAGAGCATGAGGTTCTAGTGGGGCCTCAGAACCTGGGTGTGATGTTTCCAGCAGACTCCTCTAGGGTCTCGGCTTCAGCAGAACCAGGGGGCAAGGGGTCCTGACCAAAGCAAAGCCCCGGCTTCCCCCGGTGGAGAGGCTGGGCGTGGAAGGCAGGGCTCCCCTCATCTGCACGTTCAGAGATGCTGTGTGTATGGACAACTATCCACCAGCCAATGACAGGGCGGAACGCACAGCGTTCTCCTTCTAAAGGTTCGTTTTGTCCATCTCACATTGGTCACCTCCATCAGTTCTAGTCAGAGAGTCCATCTGGGGGTGTTGACAGACGGCTAGGCGAGGTCACCTTGGGGTGCGTGTTAACTAGGCACGCATTCTTCCTTACACAGGCTGTCTTGTTGAGGCCGTTTCTGTCTGGGTGTGACACGGTCACTCTATAAATACATCTGTTAGGAAAGTTCTGACTCCGAGATGTAACCGGTCTCTGTACCTTCACGGATTCAACCAGTGTGTGCTGAGTGTCAGCTGAGTCACTAGAAGGTGGCAGTGGGTGGACAGTGTGATGCTACTGCTGCTGCCTGAGGCCTGCTGCCTGCCCCCGTGTACCCCGCCCCATGGTGGGGCTGTCTGAACCGAAAAGAAACCTACAACAAGGAAAAGGCTGAGCAGGAGCCACGGCGCCGGGACAGGGGGAGCTGGGGGCTGATGCTTTTACTCAGGAGACTTGGCTGGGTGGCGAATCTGCTGTTTTAAACCAGGGACACTGGGCAAGAGACTCCAGGCGGGCTTGTCACAACCAGGGGCAGCCCTGTCATCTGTGGTGACGATGGACAGATGCCAGGGGGAGGAGGAGGAGGGAGAGAGACAGACAGACAGAGCAGCACCCCTCTGCGTATTTTTATATCTACCTCCTAGAGACTCAGCTCCCAGTCAAATTAAAACCTGTCTAATTAATGGATTTTCAAAAGGTAAAGAGTGATCCTCTGGTACTCAATTGATCTCCCTGACTAGTCTCAACTCCTTTTGAGTTCCTGTAAATCACCGAAGAATAAACAGTTTAAGAATTGAATCTTTTACTCACTTTGTGCTTAGGTATGTCTCAAAGTACCCATTATGGAAGAAAAATGTTCTCTTTCTCTAAAAAAATAATGTCAAGCAGGAAGCAAAGTAATATGTGGTTGTAATCAGAAATATAAATACACAGTGTGGACATCTTTGAAGGCTATATAAAGGCAAACGTTTCAGTAATACAGGAAGATGTAATGTATAACAGGTACTACGAAATGAACATGAATTTATTATGCTTTACACTAGAAGAAAGACTTAATAATAACAAATGTACGTAAAGTCTCTAATAGAAAAACACTAGTGAGTTATAGGTGAGAACACTGATAACGTTTTCTAGAAACGTCAATTACTTTGCATTCTGAAGTGGTCTCTTCAAACATGAAAACAAGGGGGAAACGTACATATAGTCAAAGACAGTCATTCCTTGTGAGGCTCATAAATATTAATATGATTGCAAGAAAAGAGCAACTCTTAAAGAAAAACAAAGCAAAAGGGACAGCCAGTCAGTTCTTAGAGGCTGTTCTCCCAGCAATGCATTCAGCAGCCAAATGTCCCACCCACTTTCTTGTAACTGCTAATGTCATTGTCAGATTGGCCCCTGACAGGTGATCTGTGAAGCATAATAAACATACTGCTACAGCTCCACAAAATTACTCAGGTGTGGCAGGAAAGTCAGTTCAATATTAATCATGCCTGTTAAACTCTATTCATACTTTGCATTTTGTCCTTTTGACAGGAGTATGACAGGTGCCCTCCCAGCACATCCCTGGCATCAATTGGCCCAGGGACAGTGCCTATCCCGTTGGCATGTCAGGATACCAGGACAGAGCCATAGTTAGCGCCTTAGATCCAGCAATGAATGCAAGAGGGCTACCCCTATAACACCCGTGCAGCACAGGTCGGCCATGATTCAGGGCCGGTGGCTCTTAGAGTAACACACACACACAGGCACACTCAATTCCACGCACATTAATTAAACAGCCGTGAGCAATGTTCGGTGATGTCAGCTCTAAGCTCATTATACCCTTCGGCTTGTTTTTCCATTTAAAATAAAGTTAATTTCCAAATCCTCTCTGATGTAGGACTTATAACCGAACACTGTATTCTTTCCCCAGAATGGGGTTTTCTGACCCCACTATCTTAGATGCGTCTTGTTGTGGCTGCACAACCAACGCCGTGGTGTCAAGGAGAGGGTGAGCTGCACTGGCAGGGTGAGATGCTCTAGTCACCCAGCCGGGACCCAGAGTGAGCGGGTCAACCAGCAGGTCACCCTCTGGAGCAGGCCAGCCCTGCCAGGGTCACTTGTTGACATTCACATGAACAATGACAGGTCCTCACCAACTATGTTCTTCCCGCTGGTGCCAGCAGGAAGAGATGTCGTTTACTATCAGGGACACCTGTGGAACCAGAAACGCGGGGGCCAAAGGAGCACAGCCCTGGGCCTAGGGACATCTCACTGGGTGTCAGTGCCCCAGGCACAGAGCTTCTGCGTCTCCAAAACCACAAGAACCAGGCTTGTCTCCCCGGATAAGAGACAAGCATGTGTCACTAAAAAACATTCTGAGAAATGATGGGAAACCATGACTTGCTGGTCAATGACATCCAAGAAAACTTGGAATAATTCTACGCGGAGGCCAGGCGGCACTGGCTCACCGATGTCTCCTCTGGCACCGTGAGCATCGGGGAATGGGTGTTTGGCTGATGACCACAGTATATCTTCCATCCCGTGTCAAACAGCACATGTCTGCCTCAGGGATAGACTATGATTCAGAGTTTCCAGCACTGGAAATCCATGTCCAGCTTCTCGGGTAATTAAAAATACACATGTTCACAGCAATGTTATTCACAGTAACTGAACAACCCAGTTGTCCACCACAGGGCGAATGGATAAACAAAATATGGTACACCCTTCCAATGGAGTATTGCTCAGCCATAGAGAGGAACGATGTTCTGACACACGCTCCAACGTGGATGAGCCTGCAGGGCTGATGCTAAGAGCGATGCGCCAGACGGGCATTAAACGAGGTCCCTCGAGGAGGCAAATCCATAGAGACACAAAGTAGAATGGTGGGTGTGGGGGGCTGGGGGAGGGGCAGGGGACAGAGTTCCTGGTTGGGGACATGAGAAAGCCCTGGGGATGGAGGGTGGGGATGGTTGGGCAACACTGAATAAACTTACTGCCTCTGCACTGTGCACTTACAAACGGTTAAGATGGTACATTTTATGCTGTGTCTATTTTATCACAGGTTTAAAAATACACCTAAATCTCTGAAGGGGAGTTCTATTCAGGAAAAATCAATAGAAAGTTTATATGTGATCAAAGCGCGCCCATCTTTGGCACCCTAAGCTCTGCACAGAGCTATTAGGATACAGAGTCGGACTTTGAGCCATGGGTACAAAGTCCAAATCCTTCCTCAGGACGGGAAGGGGCGCTCCGCCCAGCGAGCAGTCTTGGCTCAGATGAAACAGAATCGAAACTTACCCGGAGGAACGTGGGAAATCCTTGTCCATAGTAGCCGACAGCAAAATAGTCAGGCTTGGGTCTTATCACTTTGACGATGTTTTCGTAAAACTGAGCCTGTTTTTTCTGAAAGGAAGTACGAAAATGCATTTCAGGTTTGAATAGAGTATTTGAGCATCCGTTCTTCTGCAGCCTTCCAGGGGGCTCTCGGCGCTTTGGCAATTCGGGGAGGGCGGGGGAGAGAGCGGCTGGCAGAGCAGCACCGAGGTGTGCCTCCGAGTTCAGTCTCGCCGCCCGGCTCTGACAGTGTTTTTCATTCATCCTCCAGGGTGCAGCAGGGGAGTGTGGCCGAAAAAGCCAAACTCAGGAACCAGCTGCAACTTACTGGGTTTTCAATAACCGCGTAGGCGCCACGGAAAAAGTGTTGCTTCTGATTAAGTGGCTGGTCTTCAGTATTTTAAAAAATGGCATTGACCAGATACTGGGAGACATTAAGGAAGAATTTTAAAAGGGCAGAATTCTGCTCTAAACGAATGATAAACATTACAACAGCATGAAGTCGGTCTGCTCAATACGGAAGTGACACAGTGGAGAAGGCGGTAATTAGAACCTGACAGAGCTTCCGTGGCAGGTGGACGGTCCCGGCCACTCTCCACCCGCAGTTTCATACCCGTGGAGCCTCTGGGAGGCTCTCGAGCCATGGAGACTACTGTACGCACAAGGTCAGCAGTTTTCCACATAGAGGTTGTCCACGGAAGTCTTAGCCTTTGGTTATAAAAGCTCAGTGGGAAGTAAAGCGTGGACACTCGTGGGCCAGAATCAACTAGCAAATACATCACGACTCTCCTCCCAGACAAGCCGCAGGAGACGGCCAAGGCCACAGAGAGCCTGAGAGAATCCTACCAGGAAAAGCGAAAGGGGACTTCCAGAAGAACAAGTGTAGATTGCCCGCGTTCATGTTCAGGGAGAGAGAGGTAGACCTACCAGCAATTCGCTGAGTTGTTCATAATCAAACATTTCGTTTTCATACTGTTCGGCAAGTTCCTTGCCCAGGGCGATGGCCTCCTCCCACATCTGCGAGGAAGAAGAGAAAAGGGAGAGAGAAACCCACCTTGAATTATGCGGTCAAGGGGTGAAAGAGTAACATGCGCATTCATAATAAAACGATTTGGAAATGAGCTTGCTTCATTCGAAAACACTACGAGAACGATGACTGAACAAACAAATATTTAAGAGAGGCTCATGTCCTTTGGTTCATGACTGGGCATCAGGTGACGAGCGTGGTCACCTCCTGGCTCAGCCATCAGGCTGCCTCTGTGCCCGGGGTCCTCGCTCGCCCCCCTCCTCTCTCCCCTGCAGCCCCTGTGTGTGAGCAGCCACGGAGCCCGCAAAAGGGGCCACAGGGTGATGAGGCTACAAGGAGCCGGGTTTTGCTCTTTCCCAAATCACCCCATTTAATAAATGCTCTGTTCCAGCAGTCAAAAGAACCAGGATATATTTCAACTCTCAATTAAGGCTTGCAAGAAGTTCGTAAATCCTGGGAGGATGTAAAGCCTGCCATCATTTCAAAAGGGGACCCTTCTGCGGTGATATTTTGCAAGTGGCTTTCCCCATCATATAACTGATTTATTAAAATGCCGATAAACTTTTGATACATGTGGGACAATTGATATGTATAGTAGCCCTAGATTTCTCTTATTTTCCTTGGGGAAAATAAAGTGGTTAACTTGAAAAGAACATGGAAAATATGGAGGAACTGTCATTTCCAGGAAGCCTTCCAGGGGGCTGCCCGCTCTGTTCCTTTTCTCCTCCAAGGACCCAGGATTCCTCTACTTCAAATCTTTTGATAATAGATCGAAATTGGAATGCTCCTTTGTCATTTTCCTCAGAACACTATGTCCCTGAGGGCAGGGACCCAGCAGGACCCAAATCTCCAGGCCTGAGCCTAGGACCTGCTGAACAATGTTTCTTGAAGGCTGTTGGCTTAGAATCAGGAAAGTGTCACACCATCCTGCATGCTGCGTCCCCAACTGCCACTTCTCTACCGCCACCATTCCAACAAGATGGCGCCCTCATTGTTTGCGCGAGTGGCTCCCAGCTTACTCTGTGTCCAGCACTCCACACCCGTGTCCTCTTGTGTAAGTCCCTCACCTTGTCAGGTGGGTATCTTTGTTACACCCATTTTGCAGGTAAGGAAGTTGGGGACTGACAAATAAGTTACTTGCTCAAGGGCACATGGTGGGGTGGACATGGCTGGTCTTTTGCTCTTGATGACTGTCTTAGTTTGAGCCGCTGTGACAAATACCACAGACAGGGCAGCATAAACAACAGACATTAACTTCTCACAGTTCTGCAGCCAGGAAGTCCAAGATCAAGGTGTTGGCAGATTCCTTTCTTGGTGAGGGCCCTCCTCCTGACGTGTGGCAAGTATTGGGAACAGGCTGCGAAGGCCCACACCTGGCACACCCCTTGGACTTGAGCCCTCAGCCGCCTGCCAGGCTGCCTTTTCTTAGAATGACCCCCGTGAGGACCTTACCTATTACTGAGTCACCCAACAGACTTAAAGTACAAGTTACACAGCTACGACTTAAAGCAACCATCTGCCATTTTTGATGAGAAAAAAGCTATTCTGAAATAAGAGTTGAATTTTAATACTTTGAAAGACACAATAAAAATAAGCCCAGAGTAGAAAACAATTTCAGGGGCAGAGTCATCCCAGGGTGAGAGGAAGTGGCTGAGATGTCCTTCCTACAGATTAGACACTGTCCCCTTCCCTGAACCACCCCACTCTCGTCTCCACCCTGCTGAAGCTTTCAACGTCCTCTCGCATCCTTTGAATATTATACTCTGCCAATCCAGAACTTTCTGGGGTCCTTTGCTGGAGCCCAAGCTCACATTTCTAGAAAGGGGGTGCTTCTGTCACTTTTCATGTTTCATCTAAGCTCCAGCCACCAATTCTTCCTTCAGTGTATTTCCATTTCAAAGAAAACATTACCTTTCCTTGTAGTTTTCTTTCGCTGGATTTTTCTTTAGTTTTCTGCAAGCTAACACACACCCTCTCAGCTGCCTAGAATGTCATGGCTTCTAATTCATTGGTTAATCTTATCCTGAATGACAGATGAGATGCTTTAGATCCATATCAAAAGCAATGGTTTTTAAAAACTATATAAGTCTTGAATAAATATCTTATCCAACTCACCCTGAGGTTACACGATTGTGTTTTCTATGAACGCATATCCCCACTGCCCTGACCCCCAAACGTTTTAAAGGCGTCTGCATTAAGGAGATTTTCATCTGCTTTTAATAGGACTGGGCTCTAAGGAGTATGGGTAACTCATATTTCCAATGCGAATACCTTGAAAACTATTCAGGGCCAGACAGCAAACTGATTCCGTACAATCAAGGTTTAGATGATCTCAGTGAAAGAATCGCTTGAACTTGTGTGACTGAATGGCCTGCCGTAGCTCGGTTCCTGGCCGTGGCCTAGGTTTAGGGGGTTCACTGCAGTCCTAAAGGGAAAAGCGCCCTCGCCACGCACAACTTCATTTTCTGATGTGAAATCCTTAATCCATGTTACAGCATTTGTGACATTGCTACTTCACTTGTAACACGGAACATTCTTTGCATGAGATGGTCTTGGCTACTTTCTCTTAATGATAACCTTCTCTTTCCAAACTGCCCGGTTATAGGAAGTTCCATTTCTTCAAGTTTCTTGAATTGAAAAATTTTTTTTTTTTTCACTGATGAAGCTCCTTTGTTAGTTCTAATACAGAAGTGGCTGCAGAGAACATATCGATTACTGATTTCCTACAGAGAACTACAAGGCTGACGATGGACCTGTCGGATGGGTTGACGACATCAATCTCACAGGATAAGGCAGTGGTGGCAGATGAAGGACAAGGTGCCAGTCTGGACAACTGTCCCTTACCACTAATTCTGGCTGGTTATGACGCACGGGGATATCCTGGGGCACCTCTGCTTTAACTCACCTACCAGCTGTAAGTGACAGACCAGTGAAGGTTCTTTACCGGACTCTTGAATTTCAGTTACTCTTCTAAAATTCCGGTGTTTCTCCAGGCAGGTGTTGGGAATTTACCCTCGGAATTTCCAGTGTCCCACACAGGTCTCTGATGTGACGAGAATCCAATGGCGTGGAAAAACCCAGAGTGCTGGCTGAGGTCCTTCTGCACCAGAGGGGACCATGGTGGCCAGACCTAGCATAGGCCCTGAGCATGCAGTGTGTCTGCAGGAGTGCTGGGAGGCACAGCCTCTTCCCAGTCCTTCTAGGATGAGGGCTGGAGTCCCTGGGAACAGTGAGCACCATGAAAAGGGCAGCTCAGACGGCCGTGGCCCAGCTGAGAAGGGGCCCGCTGTTCTCAGAGGGGCCTGCAACCTCTCCTTACAGAATGGAGACACCGTGCAGGCACCTCCACTTTCTCTGGGCCTCTCCCTCTCTCCTTGAGCCAACCCTTACCCGCAGTCCTCCTGCTGCTCCCAACTGGCTTCGACTGACCTGAGCAAAGGAAGCATTTTCCAAAGCCATTTCTGAGCGAGTCAGGCCCCAGCCCCAGCAGTGGTGCAGCCTCTGAGGTCTGAGCTCAAAGCTGCCCGACCCAGCAGTAGTGGCTCCATCATCTCCCTGGGTGTGCACAAGACACAGCCTGCCACCCGAGAAACGGGGCTCAGATGGCGCTGACCATCCTCTGGCAGGGCACAGGGGCCTGTGGGACCTGGGAATGGGGCCGGGCGTGGGAGGCTTTTATGGAAAGTTTCTCAAAGCAACTAGAAGATGAACTCCGCTCTCGAGAGCAGTTAAGTACTCAAGGAATCACTGCCCATCTAACTCCTGGTCATCCACGAGCTGCTCTTTCCCACAGCAATGCTCCATCAGTCAAAACAGAAAACCATTTGTTCAGTTTTTAACGCCCTGGAAAAAAAAGTGAGGAAGGAACACATTTTTTCAAAGAGAGATGTTGCATATTTCTTGGGGCCAGGCCGCCTGCAGTTCTGGAAGAACGCACAGAGCCTAACACAGGCAGCAAAGTTGCACTGTGCCTCGTGCTGGTGGCTTGATTGGAAGGGGAGGGGACACACTCTCCGTCACTCATTCATCCCACAGACAATTCGTGGGCTCCTGGGAGGGGAGTGCGCACAGCGAGCAGGACAGGACAGGCAGCACTTGAAGGAATACTGTGGAAAGAAGAGGAAGAAACAGGCACGGAGAGAGGGAGCCAGAAGGAGAGCACGTTCTGCCAGTGGGAGAGGTGATGGCGTGGTTACAGGTGAAGATGGGTCATCCAGTAGAGCGGGAGCAGGGACACGGAACGGGACGGGCTGACGGGCTGGTGTGACGTCCTGGGATCAGGGCACAGATGGAGGGGCCCGCTGGGACAGGAGCATGGAGAGCTGGTGCCTAGGACAGGAGGGGCATGCAGGGGACGGATGCAGACCAGGAGGCGAGGCTGTGCCAGGGCGTGTGGCGGTCTAAGCTGTGTCACACCGCTGGGTAACCCCTAGTTGCAAAGTCAACTAATTTTAAAAAGAATCAACGTGTGGCAGAAACGGAGCCTAGGCACTCAGAGCTGCTTTCGCTGCCTAGAAGGACATACAACCTTACTGGACTCATCGGGGGGGGGGTCTCTACACTTCTCTCGTCCAGCTTTGCAGCTACATGACCAGGCTGACCATCTGCTCCAGGCGTCTGAGTGTGTTGGGTGTCTCCCGGCACTCACGCCTCTGACCCTGAGCCCATGTTAGAGCCACTGTACCATCAGCTGCCTCCCAGCCTCTGGAGACGGTACCTCCCTCTGTCACCCCTGCCGCCACTGCCTTTCCTGGGCCTCTGCAACTCAGGCCTGGACAACCGCACCAGCCTCTGTCTCACCTCCAGCCCCCGAGCCCTTCCCCACCAGGTCTTCTGCCATCGTGCAGGTAGAATGACCCTCTGAAAGGAGAAAAGTAAAGTCCCCATTGCCCATTTTAATTAAATCTCATGGGCTCCTTGTTGTGCCTTATGGAGTGAGCCCAATCTTCAGAACACGTACAAGGCCATGGACAAACTGGCTCCAAGTCCTCTCGGCCCTGTCTCCCGGACACTCACCCCCACCTCCCCATACACAGACAGGACCCCCCTCCCAGCCGTCACCCAGTGAACCTGATCTCATTCTTCAAAAACCAGTTCCAACGTCACCTTCTCTGAGGGTGAAGTGTCCCCTTTCCCTCAGAGGAGCAATTGCACCCGTCCCGGTTGGATGGCAGCCCCAGGGCCCACCAGTGACAGACTGGAGGACGGTCTGCCATTATGTGCTTGTCAGCAGCCCTCGTGCGCCCCAGGCAGGCCCTGCCTCTTCTGTCTGTAATTTAGGGGTGCAGGCTGGCACCCGGCACATACAGGGCTTGTTAGTGGCACCCGGCACACACAGGTCCTACAGAGCATGGGGGAGCAATGACGTTACTGACTCTAAAAATTGATTTTCTCCTGCTTTGATAGCAAATTATTTTTTAACAGGAGCAGATTATAATGAACATATGATCTCTTTGAACATGTGGGCCAAACTCTGACTAACCAAACAGATTCTGACGAATATTAGGATTTTTACAAATTTCCGAAGTGCTGAGAATAAAACCAAGAAGAGGGTATCATTATGCTCATACCAGCAGTTCTTCTGCATAAACAACTGCATTTTTAAAGGGGAACTCATAGGATGAGAACATTTGGCTCCCAATATTCAGAAAAGAAATTCAACCCTTTCAACAGAAACAGGAACTTGCTCCGAAGCCCCCATTTTTAGTTCACAGGATGATGGAAGACACCTCAGGTTTTGACTTGGGCACAAGGTAAAGTGAGAATTTTGTCAAGGCGAGGTCATTTTAAGGGAAAAGAAAGCAGAGCTCCAGTGGGAAGTCACGGAGCGTCACACACCACGTGGGCTGTCACTGAGGTGTCCCCTCTGTGGACACCACCAGGCTGCTTCTAGTTTCGGAGGTGGTTTCATGTGAATACTGGCTTCTTTATTCTGACTACATTTTCCTGCGGCCAGGTCCATTTTTGACTCACCCTCCACAGAAAAGCCTGGTAATTTTCAGTGAAGTACTTGGATAAAAGGCTTTGTTGAAAATTACGAGGCCTCCACCAAACACCATCAGGCAGACAATTCAGAGCATCTTCAGGATAAAACATTCATTTGTCTGCCATGATAAAGCCCGAGCAGGCTTTTGGGGGGGTGCTGAAGCGGGTGGTAACAACGCGGTGGAAAAGGAGTAATTATTAGCCCAGGAAGGAAGGGCTGGGGAAGAATAAAAAGGGAAACCAATGGAAACGTGGTTTTAAGGAGAGAAAGAAAAAGATAAAACGACCCAGGGCTCGGCTAAAAGACATTCAAAACCTTTTAAAATGGTAGAAAATCAAAAATAGGAGAGTGATTTTGTGCAGAAGAAATACAGAAAGATAACAACATAATTCCAAAGCCAGAGTGTCCAATATAAAGAAGCGGAAAATCCATTCAGCATGGCAGCTTTCAGAGCACAAGGGGAGAGAAACTTTGAATATAACCTGACCCCAGCGTCCTGCTAGAACGCCGGGGTCTCCCTGCCACTGAGGTGCCGCCCGCGGGCCTCGCCCCGGCCCCGGCCCCTTTAGTGGGCTGCTCCGGGTTTTCACAAGTCTAAGCTGCCTTGGGTTCCACAGGTTCCTGTTTCCCCCAGGTAGTGGTATAAATTTAAAACTGAAAATAGCTTTAGGATGTGTAAAGTCTCCACCGAGTAAGGATATAAAGAAAATGTCCTTAATTCCATAAGGTGAACAGCCTGTATCAATGGAGCTATAACTCAGTCATACTTTTGCCACCTTAATCCCCACTTTGTAATTTCGGGATCCCCAGCAATTGTTGGTCTTCAAGTCTGTTCAACTGTGGTTACAAGTCCCTTACGCAATTATATGGTTTTCAGAGCTGCAATTGTTTTTTTCTCCTAAAATAAGTATAAAATCAAGCCACAGGAAGTCTGCTTTAAATACGCTCCAGGAGCATTGAGAACACAGGCCTGGGTGAAGCCACGCCAGCAGTTAGCTCAGAGACTGTCCCCGAGGCTGGAGGGCCCTCCCTGCCCGCTTGTCACCGCTCACTCGCCTTGCGGACTCCAGGAATTCTTGATGGAGGACTAATGTTATCTCTAACAGACACACAGGAGTCCACGCAGGAAAAGCCAGCCCTGTCTGTTCTTGTAAGAATTTGTGTTTCTCTGCTCTCCAGCCTCTGTGATGAACGTGGTATTAAGTCAAGTTAGAGTCAGGCTCGGAGAAGGAAGCCTGCAGATAACATGCTCTCCGATCCCCCCACAGCAGGAGTGACGGCCGGCGCCTGCCCCAGGGGAGGCCCAGGACCTCTCAGAGGCTCAGAGCTGGCTCAGGAGGCAAGACCACACCAAGGAGACAAACATGCCCCATACAAGGAAACTGCTGGAATGTCTGAACCATTGCTCTTTTCAAGTACTTGCTCAAGCACTGGCCAAGATGTGCTCAATTCAATGAAAAATGAATCAAAATGACAATGTTGACAGTGTGTGGGGGGGTGCTGTGTGGGCAGGGGGCAGAGGTATATGGGAACTCTCCGTACCTTCCACTCAGTTTGGCTGTGAACCTAAAATTGCTCTAAAATATAAATTTTATTTTAAAAAAATGACCAGTCTGTGTGTGGCACAGGGCTCCCTGAGAGGGGCATCGAAGCATCAGACACAGTCTGCTCCGACCTCAAGTAGCTTCAGCCAAAGGGGCGCCCGGGACTCACGGGCGGTTCCTGGATCAGCGGCACCCTCATTACTGGGAGCTGCTTAGAAATGCAGAACCTCAGGCCCCACCCGAGTCCTACTGAGTCAGAACCTGCATTTTACCAAGATCCCCAGGAGACTCAGGGGGCCAAAAAAGTAAGAGGTACTCAGAGTAGGGGAAACGGGGTCCACATAAACAGTTCCAAGGCAGTGGCACAGAGGGACTCCCCCTGGATGGCGGGGGCAGGTGGGGGGAGCACAGAGATATGCCGAGAGGGTGGGAAGGGTGCCACATGTGGAGGTGGCGGGGGAGAAGGGCCGTCCCACGTCCTGGGAAAACCATGGGACGTCTGAGCGGACAGGTTCCAACAGCATGTTCAGAAAAAGGCGAGATGTCGTGGGTGAAGAGGGGACAGGTCTGGAGGGGAGAGCCCTCCGGTCCAGTGTCTCACGTGCCAGGTGAGAAGCCTGGATCTGCCTGTAGAGGAGGTGGGGTCCCCTGAGGTTCGGGCATCCTTGAAGCAATTCAAGCAGCTCCATGACCACTTTGTTAGGACCCAGAGGGATAGCCCGGAATGGCAGGGATGGGTGTGGGGGCCCCTGGGAAGAGCAGTGGGTGATGCACCTCCAGCTGGGAGAGCGGGGAGACTGACAGCTCACCAGGAAGGGACGCCACCGGATGAGCTGGCTCTAGAGGCAAGCCTTTTGCCCACACGGTCAGAGGACGCATTACAATAAGGAGCGCCCAGAATGGCAGTCAGTGAAGGCACACGTTCCTTCAGCCATGAGGAACGCTGGCCCTCATCCTCCCCAGGCCTCCCGGCGTCCCCATCTCCCGCTCTGCCCACGTCACACACCTGATCCTTACTCCCTAGAACACAATGAGCCAGGAAGCCATTTCTTCAGCAGTTTGCCGAGAAACAGGATTCCCTTGACTAAGCTAATAGAAGCTTAGTCACTGGCCTTAATCAGGAAAGCGTCTTCTTTTTATGAAGAAATACAGTCTGTTCCAATGCAGGACTGGGTGTCATCCACAGAACATTTCTGATCATTATTTCCAAGTGGCCTCCGGCCAGGCCACATGCTCTTCGAAATCTTTTGATTTTTGTCCTGTGTCAAGGACAGTAGGAAATGAGCAAGATACACATTCTCACAGGGGTTGGTTTATGTCAACAGCCACAACAAGGGCGGCCTTGATATTGGTGCCGATTTGGGTAGAGCTGTGCCCCCCACCCCAAAGTTGAAGCCCTCACCTGTGGTATCTGTGAATGTGACTTTATTTGCAAAAAGGGTCTTTGGATGGGATCAAGTTAAGAGGAGGTCACAGTGGCTGAGTGGACCCTAAGCCCAGCGACTGGTGTCCTTAGAAGAGGGGACTCTGGACCCAAGGCACCCACACACGGAGCACGCCCCACGATGACAGACAGAGGGACTGCAGCGAAACGTCTGCACGCCTCAGGATGCCAAGGATTGCCAGCAGCAGCGGACACGAAGGAAAAGGCACAGAGCGGATGCTGTCCTACCTGCCCTGCCTTCTCTCGGCGCGAGCACGGCCCGGCCAGCACGGCCAGGCCAGGCGCCCAGCCTCCAGCACCCTCCTGCTGCTGAAAGCCACCCAGCTGGCACGACTCTGTGACAGCAGCCCCAGGAAACTCACACAGGGACCTTCATGGAATTCTCTGGTTGCTTTTTCTCAAAGTGAAAAAAAAAACGCAGGAAACAGATGAACCCTGATGAAACCCAGAAGCAGCCCGG